GTTGTGTTGTTTGGAAGGGATGGAATGAGAGAAGCTACTGCATTACGAAGCCCAGGACTGTATGTGCACAACTCCTCTGTGTATTTGCAGAATACCACCCCTCATGCAGAAGAAATAGGAGGACATTTTCCTTTTGTTTGTCTTGGTTCCTAGATTTTACAAGTTCATGTATCCCTTTCTTGCCAGTCAGCAGCCAATCAGAGATCAGATTTTCATGCTATACTGGGAAGGGTTCTAATGACCTTTTTCTGTGGTCTTTGTGGTCTTTGCACACTATATGGTGCAGCAAAAGTTTTGCTGTGTTGTGACAAAAAGCTGTGTTAACAATAACAAACTGTAAGTCTCCTTGCTACTGCAGATGACTCAAAGGTTAATTGCTACTGTTAATGTAATGGCCACAGCCAGAGAAAGCTTTCAGCAACAGGGCGTTTTGTAACTGGCATCTCACTGTTAAATTTCTCTCTAACCCAAGTCTTGCTGATTTTTTTTCAAGGCACCACACGTCAGTAAATAGAGCTCTGTAGACAGACACACAGTCAGGATGAACAGATAGCAAGTCTTTCTGTGGCTGTCAACAGATGACACAATGGGATATATCATATTTGGTGAAAGCAACAAAGTAAAGAGAGTTCAAAAAAAAAGGAGGAGAGAGAAGAAAAGTTAGAGCAAAATGTTCTATTTCACTTCCCCTGAGCAAACATGTAATTTCCATGATTTCTTTTTAATGACTCTCTTCTGAAGCTAGTAGGTACTGATTTATGAAAAGCTGTAAAAGATCAGGTGGAACCCTGCAGGACATCGTTTACAGCTGCACGGATTGCAACCCGTCTAATTTGTCTAGTAAAGTGTGAGCTCATGGCACACATCACCCAGACCATAAATTTCATGTTCAGACCTTCTGTCTAGGGGCTGGGTCAGGGGGGAAAAAAACTGCCGATGTGTGCAGATGCTCTGAAAGCCCAGCTTTCCCTTGCTGCATCCAAGGAGACATCACAGACTCTTCGCAGTGAGACAAATTCCTCTTCATTGATAAACTGTCCAGATGTCCTCTCTGAGGAGGAAAGTAACTAATTTTTGTTTTGAATCCTACAAGGAGAAAAATGATACTTTACAGTGCTGGTTATTCTGAGGTCACTTGCATTAAAATTAGGTCATATTTTTTGTCTTCATGATACTTTGATCCAAGTAATAAACATAAAAGCTCTTTTGGGCCACTCTAATTCCTAATCCTAGAGACCTGTTCTATTTCAACTTGTTTATACATTTTTTTTTCATTAGTGATTCTTGAGTCAGGCTTTGTTTTATTAGATTTAAGCTAAAAAGACCTACTAGGCTGGGGGAAAAAAAATTCTCCATGCTTTATCACTAAGAACACTTCATAAATACTCTTAATAAATGTCTTGGGATTCCAGGCACTATACCCAGAAAACTATAAATAAAAAGCATTGGCTCTTCATGGTACAAACAGTAGTCAGGGAGATGCAGACTGTAGAGCTACTGAATAAAAATATCTTGTGTCTGATTATCAGACTTGAGCCTTTAACTGGAGACCGTTTAAAGCTGTGTATCACATCATAGGTGCCTAAGATCTGTTTTTAGCTTGAGAACAGTAACCTGAATTGTGCTGCGAGGTCTGTCCTCCTCTCAGTCTTTGCGTCAGAATGGCCACGCTGTGCTTTCCTTGCTTCAGTATTCTGGGGTCAGAGCAGGTTTCTTGTGTCTTCTGTTGCTTTCTACCTATGGCTGTTCCCAGAATGTGAGATCTGTGGTTATTGCCAGTGGATATGACCTTTTCCAGCAGCTTGTCCTGACTGGGCTCCAGGGGGAAAGTAGTCAGGCGAAAGGTGTCCCGTCAGGTACATCACTGCTCTGAAACCTGGTGAAAATTGATGGTGAATCTACAGCAGTGTTATGTCCATTTGTTGTGTTGAAGTTAAGATTTTTCAAGCATCTAATGAGCTCTTTAACTACGGCCTGCAATCCCAGAAGGGAAGAAGATTTTAAAATAATTTTCTGAGGCTTCTTTAGAAATCAGCTGATTTATAATAGTTGGCAAAACATTGGAAGTAAAAGGTGCTCTTTAATATGTAGCCAATACCAAAAGTTATTTTTTCATAAAGCTATATTGTTCTTTCTTCAGAGGTAGAAGGTAAAAGTCTTAGTGTAACTGATGTGGTATCTGATTCCAGGGCAAGCCAGATATACTGCAGGATTATGCTATTGTAGTGCTGCTAATCTTGATGAAACTTGTTAAAACTTGTGCTGGGATTGAGAAGTTTTCTTTGGAATTTTGAGGCTGCTCATGAGCTTAAATTCACCAGTATTTAAATACTTTGTTCTCTTCGGTACCTTTACAATCTCACCCCATTTATGTTTTTTTTTTCCAGCACTCAGAGATATTTTCCTCTACTAGGAGCCATCACCTACCCATTACACTGTGTAATCACTGTCTTTAAATTGTGGTGTTAGCTTAACCACCTCTCATTTTCACTTCTTTGCAGTGACAAAAGTCACTTCAGATGGATTTAGCTGTAGTAGTCAGGCTCCTGTGCACATGTTGTTTGACTAGAGCCACAGGGAAAAAGAATTATGGGGCAGAAAAGAGGCTGTAAAGTTGCAGTGATAACTGCTTTGAACATCCTCTAGTTCAGTCTTCTGCACTCAGGTAGCACATCTAAGCTAAGCTTAGCTTTAAGCCTGAGACAAATGGAGCATGTATGTTTCTGAATGGGGGCTAAAAAACTGTCTAGTATGTAAATATGTTTATCATTGAAGGGAAAAATGCAGAAACAGAGTCAAAGATACCATCATGGTACTGATTAGCACTGAGAGAGAAGAGTATCTAGAATTAGTAAGATGTCTTGTCAATAGGAAGAAATTACTGATCCTATTGCTATGCAGTGTCTTCTCACAGACCTTAGAATAAGACAGCAAGTCAGCAAGGTGCAACAACTGAGGAGAGGTTCACCTCTCTCTCAGAGCTAGACGTCTCCCCCAAGCTGCTTGCCTGGAAGACCTGTTTCAGAGAGGACAGATCCCCTGCCTGGAAATGCCTGTGTCTCTCCGTGGACTACAGCAATAGTTAAGAGAAGTAACTGGGTCTGTTTGTGGTATTTTTCAATGACTGCAGCAAAGTGTGGTAGAGCCTAACTGTAGTGACTTCATAAGGAAGGGCTGGCATTTATTTTCGGTCTTGATGCTCTCAAATAAAAAGTTACAGTATGCTCACAAGACCATGAAAACATGAGTATTCATACCAGACAGAAATTAATTTCTGGATCAATACAGAAACAGCAATTTTTTCCATTTGCAATATAAAAAGTGTAGTGTCAGTTCCAATATATTACTTCTTGACAAGAAATTATAGATCTAATCATTATTTTGAGAAGTATATTTTTTTTTCTCAATAGCTCCTAGAATCATAGAATCATTTCAGTTGGAAAAGACCTTTAAGATCATCAAGCCCAACCATTAACCTTACACTACCAAGTCCACTTCTAAACCATGTCGCTGCGCACCTCATCTACACATGTTTTAAATAAATCCAGGGATGGTGACTCCACCACTTCCCTGTGCAGCCTGTTCTAATGCTTGACAACCCCTTTGGTGAAAAAGATTTTCTTAATATCCAATCTAAACCTCCTCTGGCACATCTTGAGGCCATTTCCACTTGTTTTAATTGTTCACTTGTTACCTATGAGAAGAGACGTGCACCCACCTGTCTACAGCCTCCTTTCAGGTAGTTGTGATAAGGTCTCCCCTGAGCCTCCTTTTGTCCAGGCCAAGCCACCTCAATTCCCTCAGCCACTCCTTGTAAGACTTGTGCTCTAGAGCCTTCACTAGGTTTGTTGCCCTTTGAACACGCTCCAGAACCTCAATGTCTTTCTTGTAGTGACTTTATTAGCTCTGTTGCCCTTCTCTGGACACTCTCCAGAAACTTTCTTGTAGTGAGGGGCCCAGAACTGAACACTGTACTCAAGGTGCAGCCTCACCAGTGCTGAGTACAGGGCCATAATCACTTCCCTAGTCCTGCTGGCCATGCTGTTCCTGATACAAGCTAGGATGCTGTTGGCTTTCTTGGCCACAGGGCCCACTGCTGGCTCATGTTCACGTGACTGTTGATAACATCCTCAGGTCCTTTTCTGATAGTAGGTAGGCTACAGGTAGTCTTAGGCAGGTGGAAAAAGGTTTAAATGGATAAAGAAGTATGGACGTATATTTTCTTTGATTCATTGTGCTGATTTTGTTCTGTACCAGTTTCTTAATCGTTTTCTAAGTAAAGATCTTGGACAGAAATCATACTAGTTCAACACCATTCATGAGCACCAAGTTAATTCCAAAGGCAGGAGATGATTCAGTTCTTACTTCTAAATTATTTGTCTAATATCCTTATGGAAGTTTCTGGCCTAGCATGAACATCAGTTTTAAACTAGACATGGCAATTGCATTTTTCATTTGACTAAGCATATTTAATAACAAATTTACTCATTTCTGCCTCTGTGCACTGCAGGATGCAAGTCTTGTGCAGTTACCTTTGTCTGACAAATTCACTTAACTTGATTTTTAGACTTGATACAATTTTTTTAAAGCCATTACTTTTATATCATTTGTGCTATTAACTTATTAGCAGCATTTAGGATTTGTCAATGGACTGCAATACTCTGAATATTTTATATGTGTAGATTCTACCAACATGCTCAACCTGGAGTCTAGAGTTAAACTGTAAGGTAATGATAAACTTCGTGAATTGGTGATGCTTCCTCTATTTAAATGTGGGCATGACAAGCTGGTGCACTTAAGCAAGATGATTATGCAGCATTCACCAGAGCTGCCAGTGTGAGTACATGTGGTGGCCTCAGCAGCAGATAACTTCCACAGATGAGCAGAAATGCCATGTCTAGCCTGGAAGCTCCTGCTGATGCCAGTACTAAGTTTAGATACAAAATAAATCCATACATGTCCTTGCTCCCTAACTTTCATCGCGTTCTTTTTTGTTTCAGGCCATCAAATCTTCTCCTGGACCAAAGTAACATTGACATTTCAGCCTTCCGCACAACAGGTGATTGGCTCAACGGTTTTCGGACAGGCCAGTGCAAAGACATTTTCACAGGCGTGGAGTACAGCACCTGTGATACAATAGCCAAGATTTCTACAGAGTAAGTTTGAATTGACTACAGCTCTTCGACTTTGGTTGTGACTTGAGGTACAAATTTAAGCATAAGAGTAGTGGTTTTATATGGAGTTTCCAGTTTTTAGCTAAAATATTCTTATACTTAAAGAGACAAATGTAAATTATTATTGCAGTTGCAATACGTGTGCAGGAACCCTAGATGCTCTGGTGACTACATGAAGGCCATGGTCCCACAGCTTTTTCTTACTGATGACAAGCAAAATTTCTATTTTCTTCTGAAACACTAGCACTGTGTATCATCTGGTACACCAGCATCACTTTCTTTCATGGTTTAGGAGTTTCTCTGTTTATACTTTATAATCTGCCCTTTAAATGGGGTATCCTCACAGCAGACACAGGTACCAGTCTTTTCCTTTACTGCCTATGCTATATTCCATAAAAAATCATGTGAGACAGAGTAAGATCTTTGTAGCTGCTTTCCTCGTACATACTCATAACTATTCAGACGCTGAACTCCCTCTGGCCTCTAGTTTTGACATTTAAATGTACTAAGCTTGGAAGTTTACAACTTGCAAGTTTATTGCATTTAAATGCAATCCATCTTTGTTCTTGTGACAAGGAAGAGCAGGATAATGTTGTCACAGCACCTGAAAAGGCATCAAGCACAGTTATGAACTTAGTGCCAAAGGAATTCTCAGTTCCCTGTTGAGCTAGCTGGACACCTGAGACGTTATGGAAAAGTAAGCAGAAGCTGCCATACCAACAATTAAACACAACAATGCCATTAATTACTGTATTATTGCAACAATAAAAGGCTGCTAATGGATTTTTATAACAATTACCCTTTGGGGACAGTGCAGAAATCCTCTAGGAATGCTCAATTTCCTGTGAACCACTGGTTAATTAGCCCTTCACAGGTGTTAAACCACTTCTGTGTTGCCCAAGGAACAAGGAGACTGACGACCTGGAGAAATGAAAAGTGGAAGGCATGGCAGACACTGGAGCCTGGCGTATAGCCATTAGTCTCAGGGCTGGTACCAGAGTTAAGACGACCTTCAGAGGGCTCAGCACATAGTGGTGAGATGTCAGCACTGCTCCGGAAAAGCAATCAGGCTGACAGGGGGATGGAGATGTCAGAGGCTCAAGATTGCAGCTGGCCCAGAAGTGAACACCTTGCCCCTAAATCCCAGTGCATGTATCACTGGAGAACACTGTTTCATTGTCTTTTCTGCCAGCTAAGCAAACACAACAAGGCTAAATGAGCTTTTACTCCTTTTTTTGTGTCCTCCTGCTGGTTTCATACAGTGACGTTCAATATTTTTTGGACCAGGGTTTGTATTTCAGCAATATCACCATACCTGGAGCCTCTTCCAATGCAGCAATGCAAGATTAGTGTGTTGGTTGCTGTCTGCTCACATCAGCACTGGGAAGCACAGACAACACGCTTGCTCACTCAATGCATCTTCTCTTTCTTTCAGTGACGTGAAGAAAGTCGGCGTCACAGTTGTGGGGCCTCAAAAGAAGATTGTTAGCAGTATCAAAGCTCTAGAAACTCATACAAAGAACAACCCTGTTCCTGTGTAAGGTACCAAAATGACGTGGCTCAGGAGAGAAAAAAAGAGAAAAGTTACGTCAGAGGGCAAAAATGACGGCTGATAAGTGGCAGAATTTAAAAGAGTCCTTTGCAACAGCTTTGGAAACATGATGATTGAAATTTCAAACCCACTGAGACACTCAAATATTGAGTATAAATGCCTTAAAAATAGGAGCGAACTTGTTTTCTATCTGTTAATCCTAAAGGGTGGGTGCTCTTGACTGACTGTTAATGCAGATAGTAAATTTCAAAAGAAAAAAAAAGTAAAAAATCCTTCCAAGTAAAAACCAGTGATACTAAAACTTAGAGCCATTTGAGTATTAAGTGACTGAGTAACACAAAAAACCCATGGACATAAAAGCTGTGTATTTGATCTATACAGCAAACAAGAAGAAAGAAAGACTTGCAGTATTTTTATACAGAAGAGATCTGTAACAGGTATTTTATTTCTTTAAAAGCAACGAAAATAGAGGACTATACCTCACAACCTGTCTGGCCATATTTACTATAATGTCATTGTAACATGCTATTTCAACTTCAGAAAGGAACACAAAAATAAAGTTTGTAGCTATTTTGAGTTAGTTGACAAAAGATTTTTGCCATTATGTTAGCTTCCCTTATTGTGTTCATTTAAATAGAAACAAGTCTTAATTTTGAAAAGGCTTATTTCTTTTGGTTTAGTTTTGTTTTTTTTTTTTTTCATTATTGTTTGTATTTATGCTTAAATACCTTAACCTGGCTGTATTATTGCCAAGTGCCAAATGTTATCCAAACTTCATTGGTTCAGCCTGAGAAATTGTCTGAGGGTGAATTACTACATCATATATGAAATACAGAAGGAAAGAAAGATGGTCTTTTTTCCAGCAAAGCATGTGGACTTATTGAGATTCCTTCCATTTGCTGTGAGTGATATTTTAACCCAGGCTTGAGTTTTGGCAGGGTTGTGTGCATATTGATCTTCAGATCGGTATCTGCCCTGGTCAAGCCTATAGATCTCGTTTACTTTCCAAAGGCCTGCTTTCCTGTGACAATAAGAACCCCTATTCTCAGGTGGTGTTCAGGTGGGAGATTTGCCGAGGTGACGTGAAGATGAGTCGGGGTTGCATCCTGCAGTAACTGCGGATGCTTTCTGAGTTCACTGAGGAGTAGTCCATTTCTGCCTTCTGGCTGGCTGGCTTGGCTCCCAAAGCTGGGAACTGGGTGGTCTCCTACCATGTGGGCAGCTGCTGGTAGTGACACTGAGGTCTTGACTTGCAGCCAAGGGTAAGTAGATTGTTTAAAAGGATGACTTAACCTGTGATATGAGGCTTTGGTATGTAATTTTACCTAAGTCTGAGCTAGAAGACAGGAAAATTTAATTTTCTCTACAGGAGTATTTAATTTTTGGCACAGGTTCATTAGGCACCTGTTCCTTGAAAGAAAGCAAAAAGAAGCCTATCTTTAAGAGAGCATTCACATTTCTCAGTGGAAAAAGGAGCCTGGAAGGTGGGGTTTGAGAGCCCTCCTCCATCTTCAGCATCCTGCTGCTCTGGAGCATGTCATTCCCTATTCTGAGCAGTCACAACTCTTCACTCTGAAAATGAGTAGTTTAAATCACAGTATAAAGCACTTCTGCCACATCTAGGTGAGATTCTTAACGCTCTAGGTGTGATGCCAGGCATGCAGACTAGATGCCAGGCTTTGGGCACTAGTGGAGACCACTCTGATTCCCTGCTTGCCATGCTGGAATCCAAACCTGATTCTAATGAAAAACAGTGAATCTCTGAAAGTCCAAGGCAGGGTGGGAGGCAGATGACTGTATGGCATGCCACCTTCTGCTCTGCATGCATATGCAGGTAACTAGTCATGCTTTCTTTCTTGTATTGGTTTGTTTTCTGAAGTTCATTGTAGCATAGGGCACATAAGTAAGGGAAGAATCAGTTCCTACGATATGTGTGGCTGAATCGGCTTTTAAGTTGTTCTTCATAGGTCCAGGACTTATAAAATGTAGAGACACAATGTTTATCACATATTGCTAAGTAGAAGCAGAATTAGAGACTTTTTAATGTTGGCAGTGAGCATGCTGTAAAGGACTGGATTTGAAACACATTCACAGGATAATTATTAGTAATACGTTCTCAAATAAAAATGAATGGGTCTTAAAGTAAGTTGAAATAAAAAAGGAAAAATGGAAGAAAATTAAAATAAAGCATGTAAGATGTAATAAACCTTTCTCCTTATCTGCCACAATCTAACATGAAAATGAAGCATGCTGAATAGAAAAGATGTATTTTCCATTGCTGAGTTCATTCAGAATCTTTCTATTCTCCAGTTTGAGACTGGTCTATATCAGACATTTTTAGTGAATTTAAGTCACCAAAATCCATTTGCAGACATTGTCTGTGTGGGGACAGCTTTTTATCACATATTCCTCATGACATTTCTCTTCGGCTTCATTCCACTGCTGGAGAGTGGGAGTGAGTGAGGGGGCTGGGATGGGGAGAAAACATCTGTAAATTGCTTCGGAAAACACAGAACCAGTTCTTAGAGTTTTAGATGACAACTGAAAACTTTGCACCAACCACCCTCAATTTTCTCAGTATCTTGTCATGTTCCTTGCCCACTGTTTGAGCATGCCCAGCATAAAAGATTAAATCTCACTGATGCTTGGGAAAAAAGAAACTCAATTTTGCTCTTCTTTGCTACTAGAAGTAGAGTTTTAAAATACATTTCGTTTTCTCACCGTCAAAAGTTGATTTGTACTGTAAGTGGCCTCTGTTGCAAGCATCCTATACTCCCTGTCCCCGTGTACATATGTATACATAGCAGTGTACAATTCTTCATTGTGGAGTAGAGATACTAGAATTTGTGTGGCCATCTTCCTGTACAGGACTTGCATCAGTTAATGACATCAAGCAAAATGCGACTGCTCATAAAATGACATGCCGTATTATTGGTTTTGTATCTTTAAATATAGTTTCCATTTTATTTATTTCTGCTAACATTTCTAGTTTTGTGCTGTTACTTAGCATTCAATAAGCAATGTATAGATGTGATTTGATTGGCAATATGTATTTACTTTAACTTGTATTTCAAAGCATTACTTACTCATTTAGATTATATATTGTGCAATTGTAGATGGCCTCTTACTAATGTAAAATGATTTGTAGTGGAAACATTTATATTTTTATAATAAACATAATGAAAGTATTTTTTACATACTGGAATACTGAGGTGATTGCTTGGAGGACAAAGTAAATTTATTTGATTAGAGAGGTGTGATGAAATTGTAATCAAATATGGATAAAATCTGAGTGTTAAAGCATGAGTTCGGAGTGAAAGCTAGATATTACCTATATTATCTATCAAAAGAAACAAGTAGTGCAGGTTTTAACCTTAGACAGACCAGCATTTGTGCTAAACCGATTTATATCAGTCAAATACTTTACTTTCTTCATGCATATGGGAAAACATTGTCTACTACAGCCTGCCTATGGGATATTGAAAAAGCTGTCATTTATTTTAGTTGTGACAAGTATTTCCAAACCTTTGCTTTTTTTCCTCCCTTGCCAGTGAACCTCTTTTCATCTTATTACTATGTTGAATCCAGTAAAAGATGTACTTTTCAACAAAATAAAAAAGCCCACCGCATACTGTAATTTAACCCCATGATCATTTCTTGCCTCTGAGTATCTGTATTAGATAATATTTTGTTCCTGTTTTGTTATGTCCCTTCCAAGTCGTTCCTGTATGCTTCACTGAAGTACAGTGTCTTTCAAAATGCCAACACACAACCCAACTTTGCATCTCAGGAATTATCTTCCTAGAAAAGCAGGAGTGGTTTGAATGTTCGCCAGTTACTTGAGAAGTGAAGTTACAGGATCTTTCTGTACCATAAACAATTTTGCATGCTTTTGTATATTACTGTGCTTATTTGGTGCAAAATAATGAATCATATACTTGTCCTGGAGTCTGTAAGTTGATAAACTTTATGGATGTGGATGTGGATAATTTTTTTTTTTTTCCCCACTGCAGTTTGTCTTTTTATCCTTAATAGAAAGGGGAATCATCAAGAAGAGCTACCCAGAACTGCACTTAACTTTAAATGACAGCAGCTGGACTGAAATCCACTTTTTCTTTGTAACCCTAGTATGTCTCATGCTGTGCTGCAGTAGGTACATATGGTGCCATTTTAACTTCTAATGAATGGGTTTCGATGCTTATACTTGAAGGACAGGGAAGCATCTGTGTTGGTCTAATCTATGCAATATGCAAACTATTTACATTGGGAGTAGGTTTCACTTCACCAGTTGTGTTACACTGACTTGCATCTGTCCCTTTAACCTTTACTGTTGCATTGTATTTGCTTTATATCCCAAAGGGCGCAGTGGATATTAATAAGTTTATAACCGTTGCATTTATTATAAAGTGGTATTGCTGCCATTTCATAACTGGCTGTATTAGGATGCATTCATACAAAAAGCAGCAGAACAAACAAATACCTTGCAACCCACCACCATGTCTCAAATCTCCAGCTCACATCTGGAGGGATAAATGGCTGATAATTGGTTCCACAAATTCAGATTTTTTTTTTTTTTTTTAAATTAATGTCCAAGTGATGTTCTTCTGCTTTGCATTCCTTCTGAAGGGTGATGTCCAGATCTGGATATCTATACCAGTAAAAGCCTAAGCAGTGTCAATGGAATCGGACAGTTACTTCCACTGTCTCACATAAGCCACTCCTGTAAATTCAGACAGATATCCATACTGTTGACTTCCCTTCATTTTCTGAGCCACTGTAACGTCTCAAATTCTTCCTAAACCAGCACTGATGGGCCAGTAACTCCCTGTTTATATATATA